AACAAAGTGTCTTTTGAAAAGCTGCTTTACCAGGGCTGCTTTTGCCCTGAAAACACATGCACCTGGAAATTCCACTGCTCAAGAGTAGCTGTAAAAAGATTAGTGCCTAAATGCTCTCGCTGCGCCTGGGGAGCTGGGAAATCGGCTGAGTACCATGGTTGGAGCCCCTCTCTGTCCCTAAAAACAGAATTAGTGGGGTCCTTTATAAATAGAAAAGCAGACTGAAATGTCAGGTTTCTTTTCAAAGCAGGATGCCATTTAAATGCTTCCTTGACTTCCCCAGTCAAATAAAAGTGTGGAGACTCGTGCAGAGCAGGCCTTGACGAACTGATTTTAAAGTGTATTATTTGCCAGTTTAGGGTCATACCCTATGAGCAGCTTACAGCAAGCCGCCTTCAACCCATCACAGCAAAGCAGGCTAGCCCTCAAATCTCCTGCGCTGTATCAGAACTTCCCTGAGATCTCCCCCTGCTTGTTCTACCTGTCCAAGCTGCATGTTATTGGGTGGGGGCATTTAATGTTTTGTTTGTTTTTAACTTGAAAAAAAAAAAAAAAAAGAGCTGTTGGAGAATACAGAATCCTCCTCCCCTCAGTGCACCTGAACCATAGAAGTGTTGGACTGGAAGTGACCTCGAGAGGTCAGCTACTCCAGGTCCCTGCACTCAGCGCAGGACTGAAGAGTGCCTTTATGAACACACAAGTGTGTGCAGCATCAAATGAGTCACAAAAGCTAGGAAACCTGTCGCTGAGCTGCCCTTAGCAGAGCTGCTAGATGCCACTTTGCCCTCAAAAAGTAGCTAGGGGGCATTCGGGGGGTGAGGTAATCTTTTTTTTTATTGGACCAACTTCTGTTGGTGAGAGAGAGCTACACAGAGTTCTTCTTCAGGTAAATAGGTAGCAGCAGCCTGAAGCTCATCAAGACTAGAGCCGCCCATGTCGCTAACACCCGTGGATCTGAACGGGTGCTAGCAATGGTTGGGAATTTTTAGAAAATGTCCCCAATAGCGGTGGACTTTAAGGCTTTTACTTTTAACTCGTCCTGAGGTGTTCAGCCCCTAATACATACAGTGTGTTCTGCAGAGCACCCGGGTCTAGGGTGCGGGGTGCTTTAGAAAGGAATCAGAGATAAGCTAAGGTCATGTGTCCAGGGTCCATTTGGTCACCAGGGAGGATATGGACCCTGGAGAGCTGGTGAGGGTATGGTGAAGCATCCTCAGAGCCCTGAGATGGGTGGAAGCAACAGCTACTTCTCACCTACCTCAGGAAAATTAAACAAAGGGGAAAATTAAACACTGGCAACTAAATTTCATTTGACAGTTTTAGTTGGAGTGATAAATTCACCAGTGCTGGTATGTAAGGTACATGAGCACCCACACCATGGTCAAACTCTATTCCCTGCGCATGCAGAGTGCTTACAAGTGCTTCCTTGCTTTGCCTGCACACATGGATAGTTCAGAGGATCTGGGACCATGCACTCAGCAGGTGTAATTTACTCCCCAAGCTTTGAAAGTTTAGCCCAACAATAGAGATGGGGCCCAAACCAAAATCCTGTCTCAACCTTCCCTTGCCCTTCCCTCTAAAGATGGTGTCTGAACTTTGTGCCTTGGCCCCCTCTCTACCAAAAATGACTGTGCTGATTGATTGATTGATATTTTTCCATCACTCCTGAGCTGAGCCCTTGTTTGCCAAGTTTTCAGCCTAGAGCAAATTTTTACAGTCAAATTATAACCCCTTTGAAAAAGAGAAGTTTTTCTGGATATTCCACTCTCACGCCCATTACTCACCTTGTAATGAGCCAGGGAATATGACATGGTTTTTAACTATATGGTATCCACTTCCCAAAGCTCAGTGTCTCAGGTGTGAGCGCTCCCCTCATTAATTCACTTCCTTTGCACCTTGGCTCCAAATCCTCTGCTAGGGCTTCTGTTTTCTGGGATAGCTAGTGGCAGGACACCTGTCCTGGGAGCTGTGAGGGAGGAGAATGAATAAGTGGTCATGTTTTCAGAAAGGAAAATGCAGGGGCTGCATAGGTAGCCAGCGAGCATGCCACATATCACAGGATCCTCATGACCCTCTATGGCATGATGCTATGCTGCAATGATGACTATGCACCTCACTTAGAAGCCACCTTTCACATGATCAGCTCTCAGAATATCATCTTGTGTCTCAATGTTTGATGTTTTCTTTAAAGCCCCAGCTCCAGATATCACTTGATTACATGAGCCTCTCAGGGTCTTTTGTTTGGGTAAGTAAGTTTCTAGCCCTCATGGTTGCAGACAAAAGCCTGAAAACACAACTCTCAAGTGTAATCTAACAGCTCAAAACCAGAGAGCACATTTAAAATAGAGACATTTTTAATCCAGTCTCTTGACTTTTGTGGGGGGGCCTGATTCAGGATTTTTGCATGCCTAGGGTGGCAAACCTTTACAAACATATATGAAGGCCAGACCCTACCCGGATGAGCTTACATTCTATGAACCTGATCCTGCACTCGCAAGAGTAATCCCATTGGAAACAGTGAGCAAGGACTGCTCCTGGAGGTGAGGCCCTGCAGGATCGGAACCTAAATTAGACAGTTTACACATGAGTAGTAGACTCATCTGGGTGAGAGGGGGATAGTGGCACACTTATGAGCCTCTCATCTGCAACTGAGGCCGTATCTACACTACAAATACTTTGCCGGTATAGTTATACAGCCAGAGCCTCCTAGTGTAGATGTCTATGCTGGCAAAGGGAGTTCTGCTGCTGGTATGGGAATGCCACTGCACAGAACAACATTAGCTATGCCAACAGAAGCATTCTGTGTCTACGCAGAGGGGTTCGCCGGCACAGCAAAGTGGTTTATCACACTCTTCACTGATGCAGCAATACCAACAAAAAACTTTAGTGTAGATCTGGCCTGAGACATCACTTGGCCACACCATACACACTGTGGTTAACACTCTTAGGTCAAATAAATTGGTTAGTCTCTAAGGTGCCACAAGTACTCCTTTTCTTTTTGCGAATACAGACTAACACGGCTGTTACTCTGAACTCTTAGGTCAGTCATTATTTCACTGTTCACCCTTGAACACTCCACAACAGGGGATGAAGAGAGGAGAGAATAGTGCCAGTGACAGAGGGGTGCCAGAAATGGGTCCATCAAGTCAGAGACAGAAGGTCCTCCTTTCTTTTCTTTCAAATGAGAAAAAACAAAATGCCAGGATTGTGCAGCATTTGACAGTAGAAAAGGTTCAGTGAAGCAAACACGACTGCCTACTGAATTATTACTGCAGGCACATATCAGAGAAAACCATATCCTGTCGATGCAGTGGGGAAAGGAAGACAGTACATCCACTAGTATCTTAGATAGTGGCGATGGGATGGGCTACCCCCAGCTCAAAGGAGGGGCCAGATGACATTGTAATTGTATTTGTTTAGGCTCTGGTTTTCCACAAGAGCTGGTTGGGTGCTCAGCACTTTGGAAAATCTGGTCTCAGTGATGGGTGATGAGCACTTTAAAATTTGTTCCTTAATGCTCAGTCACATTGTGTCTGGCAAGCACATAGTGTTTAACCATCAAATAGAACAGCCTGACAATTTAGCCAAGAAAATGGATCACTCGCCGCCTCACTCTTCCCTCCTCCCCACCACCAATACCAGAACAAATAACCTTGTTAGCTTCTCAAAAGCCAGCTAGAAGGGATGTGGCTTAAAAACAGATCCTTTACAGGGTTCAGAAAATGGTTCCTCCGAACTGAGATGCTTCAGCATCTCAAAGCAGAAGTGTCCAAGAGGCATAAGCTAATGTTCCTTCTCTTTGCAGAGCACCTACTGCTTGATACCATTAATGACTCTTCTAAATTATAATCCTAGCAAGTACAGTTTTGCACGATCATCAAAACTCCATTTACCTCAGTAGAGTTACTCCCAATTTACACCAGTGCCAGCATGACAAGAGTTAGCCCCAAGGGATTAGTTGAGAAGGAAAATAGGGCCTCATCTTTCCAGGCGCTGAGTATCTTTATGGAAAGTCCCAGCTAAAGAGGGCAATTCCCCACTAGACTATTTGGTGACACTCTGCCAGACATGGCTAGTGTCTAATCTAAAAGGCTAGAACACTGCCCAACTCTGGCTCAAAGGAATTTTGTGGTGAGAGGGCAGGGAAAAAGAGCCTCTGTTGTTTCCAGTGCTTGACTTGGAGCCCAGCTCTTCCTAGGTGTGGAAAGATTTCAGAGTAGCAGCCGTGTTAGTCTGTATTCGCAAAAAGAAAAGGAGTACTTGTGGCACCTTAGAGACTAACCAATTTATTTGAGCATGAGCTTTCGTGAGCTACAGCTCGCTGTAGCTCACGAAAGCTCATGCTCAAATAAATTGGTTAGTCTCTAAGGTGCCACAAGTACTCCTTTTCTTTTTAGGTGTGGAAAGGTGCTATTATGAGAGGTGAGGCCCCAGCTGCAGATTCATTAACATCTATACAATAGAGACTATGGTCTCACACACACTGGAACTAGGATGTGGGCAAATGTCAGGATGACTGTGTTGCTGAGATTTACGTGAGCATGGAGGCCTCCACTGGCAGGGACTTTTCAAGGTGGTTCCAAGCCTCAGTCGCTGCAAACTTTCAAAGCCGCGGTTGTTTTTTCTTAACAAGAGCTTTGATCAGCCAGGGCATGTCTACACTGCAGCAGGGAGTGAGTCTCTCGGGCTAGGCAGACTTGTGTTAGCTGGGCTCACGCTGGTGTGCTAAAAATAGCAGCGTGGATACTGATGGAGGTGTGGGCTAGCCACCCTAGCTCAGACTCACCCTACCCCGAGCCTCTGCCAGTGCCGCAACATCCACACTGCTGCTACTTTTAGACTCACTCCCAGCTATAGTGCAGAGATACCTTTAAGCTCCAGCAGCTAAGGGCAGCAGTGAGATCCCAGGACAGAGCCTCAGAGAGGATGTCCGTGACTGATAAAACGGGAGAACAAGTGATAATTTGTGTTCTGATTTTACTTACAAGACAAAATCCACGATGCCAACGGTCAGTGGATGTCAGAGTCATGAGCAGACATGACGTGGTCATTACCGACATCTCAACTAGACTCATGTAAAAAGGATCAATAACCTCCACTCCTACAATCTCAGCTTTTCACTGAAGAAAAGGTTGCCTCCCTCCTGGCTGTACAGATAAGCTTAAAAATGTGACACAAGTGTCACTGAGGCAGTGACATCTGCTGCCTCTGCAGAGATCCTGAGTGGTGTGAATAGCCCCGTTTATCTCCATGTGATAGTTAACTCCAAGATCCCCTGCTCTGGGGGGCCGCAGGAAAGGATGAGAGTGCAGCAGGCCCAGCACTTCCACCCAACACTTCATATGTACTGTGGGGTCCCCGATGCTGCCACCCCTGCGCCTCTCCCAGGTGGGAGAAGGGACGCTGCTGCAGCTGAGAGGAGAAGAGCCTCTGCTCCTCCTTGCCTCTATGGGCAGGAAGGCCCCCCACTTCCACTGCCACTCCACGGGGGAAGTATTTTGTAGTGTGCCGAAAGCTCATTGATTCAGCCCTCCAAGGCATGTCATGCAAGCAAATAAACACGCAGTCCTTGCCCTGAAGAATTTACAATCTAGGGTTCAAACCATGCAAAGATTTATGCACATGCTTGGTTTGGAACTACTCATAAGTGAGGGTTACAAGCAAATAAGAAAGGGGCGAGAGAGGCAGGGCGCTGGTGGGTGTTTGTAGCAAGCTGCTGAGCAGTAGAGGGCCAGAGAAGGCTGCAGACCTTGTTTGTCAATAGGAGGTGGAAGGCTCTACCAGCTATGGGGCTCCAATGAACTTTATAATTCCAATAGGCTTTATTTTTCTAGGTAATATCCCTGCATTTTAAATTACCCCTTGAATAATGATCTAATCAAGCAGAATTCCTTTGGTATTCATCAGAATACTAGACAAGCTCTTTGTGGTTAATGTTATCAATGTAGATATCATAAGGACTTTGACAGGATTACCAGTGGAATTCACCATTCATTAACCAGACCATTATTTATAATGGCGGGGGAAGGGGGGTGTTGAGTGGTTTTGTTTTTCACATGGGACCCTGTTTATTTGGAGGTGGGGAAGCTCAGGGTGGCAGAGGTGATGAAGGTGTCTGATTCAGAGATCTCAATCAGCTGCCCTGGCAGCACTGAGATCTCTCTCCCCATCTGCACGTCTTCACTTTCATCATCTGTTTCCCTGATGGGGAAACTATTGGAAAAGAGCCACGAGGTACGCCTGGAGAACTCACTCCACCACACATGGGTTTGAGGTTGTAACCCAGTGAGGAGACAGGCAGCTGAAACCAGTCCACAGACCTGATCAGCAGATCCATGTAGGAGAGCTAAAGTACTGAAGCCAGGGCACCAATAAAGGGAGCTCTGTTGCAACAAATGGGAGCCTGTTAGAAATTCAGAAGCAGCTGGGATTGAAGGTGAGAGCAGGAGGATATTTAGCCAAGAAAAAAAAATCCTATTTCCTTTTCTCTTCCCCTAAAATCCAAAATGAGCTCTTTACTGTAGCCTGACTCAGCACAACAGGAAGACAAAAGATAAAACACTATTGAGCAATGGAACGCAATGATCAAATATGTAAAAGGAAACAAATATGAAAACAAAACTTAAAAACAGGGCGGTTTTCTATTCAAAGGGCTAACTACAGTAGATATCAATTGTCTAGACTCCCTGCTGCACTCCAGGAAACTTTACATGGGTTAATATTGCTGCAACATTTCCAAACTCTAGCATCTGGGAAAAAAATCACTGGCACCAGAAAGAGGCAGACAAAGGTACTTGGCATCCAAAATGAAGTGTAGAAGGACAAAACAAAAGGTGAGGGGGAAATTCCCTGGTGACATCCCAGAGCATCTCTTCATTCATTCCCCATTCAGGCAGGAGGGGTAAGAGGCAAATTTAAAGCCAGACTCAGTGCTTTTTCTGTTGCACAGTGCAGCCCACCTAAAATGATCCAAACAATCCAGCTTCTTAGGAATTTAATCCCATCTGCACTGCACTGGGATTCCCAGCCCTGCAGAGTGACATCCATTGAACAACACTGAGTTCCTGTAACCAAGGCAGCCTGATTGTGCAAGACCAATGGAGTGTTCTCCAGAACCATGCTTACAGAATCCTGTGAGGTGCTGCGGGCCCTAGACTCCCACCAAAGATGTGTAATGCCTTTACATACTACTAGTCCTGTCGCACCATTCAAATGCGCCGAATGCTGTCACCATGGTAGTGTTCATTTGTATTGTGATAATTCAGATGAGTTGTGGAGACATAAAGTGTTGCAGAACTGGGACAGTCAGGTGCATTCAGCCTGCAGAAAGAAATATGGTACTGCTTCTAAAGTAAAATGCAAAAGCATTTAGCATTGCTTTCTCTCCCCATTGCCCAACCTGCTAACCTACAGAGGTAATTAAACCAGAGTGTGAAAGCATATTCAGTACTGTAGAGTTAGACCAACAGGAGTAGCATGAAACTTCCACACATACTATCACTATATTGATTTAATCACACACAGAACTACTCTACTTAGTACTTTCAAATACACTTAAGGAAGTGGGGATAGGGGAAGGAAACCCCAAAACTCAAAGATGACTTACAAAATGGAGCCCCAACAGAACAAGCCAAAAGCTCCCATCAGTCCTTCCCCACCTACTCAATAGGAGTGGAGCTGACCAGGAGTTCAAGTTGAACTGTTTCAACTGCTAGCCCATAATCTAACTTTTCACAGCTCCTATGGAAAACCTCATGTCTCAGAGTCCAAGAACTGGTGTGAATTTCCTCCTCCTCAATTTGTTCCAGGAATCCATCCACTGAGAGACCATCACAGAAGAGGTACTCCTTAGTGGGTATCCAACATAAACCTGGTTTCCAGGCTCACAGTCCATATTCTAATGCCTTCTTGTTCTTCTTAAGCACATCACTTAGTCTTTGGTTTTTTAAAAAAAATCCATGGGATCTCTCTTAGCTTTTCCTTCAGGCAGCTGCTCCAAAGAGGTCCACCCAAAAGGTAAATGAAAAGCCAAAAAAGTGTTAACATTAAACAGAGACTCAACCTAGCAAAACTGTTGCTGATATTCAGGACTGTTAACCACATGTATCTTGCCTGAACAATTTCCAAACCATAGATGATGTTTAATGTGGAAAAAAACTATAAATGTACAAAAAGTTACTTCTAAGTCCAAAACACAGAGTTCCCTACTTACGGCTTTGATGAACAAAGTGTGTTGCATTCTAGCAACACGCTTTTGGCACTCTCAAGAACCTTTTCATGAGCTGGAAATTCATGGCATCACACATCAGCATAGGCATTACTTACAACAGATAGGGTTGTTGTTTTTTTTCCCCCCATCACTGTGCAGGCTCTCTCGTCTACACTACACAAGACAATACACTCTCCTCCCAGCATTGCTCTGGGTAGAAAGACGACCAGAATGAGCTGAATAGACATAGAAAAAGTTGTTGTCCATTGTGTTCTGTTGTTCCCACAATTCTTATCTTCACTTCATCTGTGTTCTGTATTGTCTTCCCAGTCCAGCAAAAGACAATTTCTGAGTTAACTATGCACAAGTCAGTGGTGCCTAGCTTACAGCAGAGCAGATTTGTGTACCTCTCAATAAAATACATGCTCTGAGGAAACGGTACTATTTTCTTCTCTCTTACTGATGATTTTCAGAACATTTTCAAGCACATTCCACAGCTACATTAAAATGAAGCCTTTAAAGCAAACAAGTTGCACTGGCCTCCAAGAATGCTCTAACTCCACAGGAGAAAAGCTCCCCTAGTCTGGCAGATACTGGAAGAATGCAAGATGATGTGTTTGCTGAATAGGGAATCGAACATGCAGAGCATTTAATTCAGTGGACATCTTCTGACATGTCACAACTAAGAAAACCATTTAACGCTGACAACAACCACCATTACTCCAACGGAGTGCAAAAAATGTACTTGTCAAGTTTGTTATCAGATTGTGCAAAAAATTTATGAAGTATGTTCCTATTATGAAGTCTGAACTGAGAAACTTTGGGAGAGTAGATGGAAGACACATGATGCCCAGGCCATGAAGAACATAAAAGAACTACTCTTCTAGCCTCTTATCAGGGGAGAAAGCATTCCTCCTTGGGATCGGATGGGAGAGGACAGGAGAAAGCTAGAGAGCAGGGCTTTGCAAGCTTTTTCTGTAAGGCAGCCCACATCTTAATAGAGAAATTGGCCTTTTGTGATCAAGCAACTGTGCCAACTACACCAGTTGTTTGCATGGAGAAGCAGTATTAAGAAAATATTGCAAGTATTTAGTAGGTGGAAAGGAGAAAGAAAGAGAACCATGTGACCTGTCAGGTCTTTGCAGACCACCAGTGGGCCACAGACAGTGGCTTGAAAAATACTGCTGTAGAGTTTTGCTGTTCCATTTGTGACAAAGTTCCTCCTCTGCCTTAGTGGGTCCTGCGCTTATTGGCAGATTTGCTTGCCTCAGAGATTCACGGCAGCCCTCAGTTTGGCCACTTTTACTAGTGGCTCAAACCTGCCGTTCACTCAGCTAACCTCATCACTAGCCAGCACGGGGAAAAGGAAGGAGAACAATCCCCGCAGTCTCTGCTGATCCACTATGTGGGTCGGGGAACAGCTCAGAGACCTTCCCCTCTGGTGGAACCCACAGTCCAAGTCAACTCCTCCTGTGTCTGATCAGGAGTTGGGAGGTTTGGGGGGAACCCAGGCCCGCCCTCTACTCCGGGTTCCAGCCCAGGGCCTGTGGACTGTAGCTGTCTAGAGTGCCTCCTGGAACAGCTGCATGACAGCTACAGCCCTCTGGGCTACTTCCCCATGGCCTCCTCCCAACACCTTCTTTATCCTCACCACAGGATCTTCCTCCTGGTGTCTGATAAGCTTGTACTCCTCAGTCCTCCAGCAGTATGCTTTCCCTTCTCACTCTCAGCTCCTAGTGCCTCTTGCTCCCAGCTCCTTGCACACATGCCACAAACTGAAGTGAGGTCCTTTTTAAACTCAGGCACCCTGATTAGCCAGCCTGCCCTAACTGATTCCAGCAGCTTCTTAATTGGCTCCAGGTGTCCTAATTAACCTGCCTGCCTGAATTTGTTCCAGCAAATTCCTTCTTGTTCTGGAACTGCCCCTGTTACCTTACCCAGGGAAAATGGACCTGCTTAATCTGGGACTAATATATCTGCCTTCTAACACTCACCGGTGAAGCCGCTGCAGGGCCGGGGCTGCAGCCCGCAGGTCTCCGCGGACGAGCGCGTCAGCACCCTGAAGCATCTGGTCTTGGAGAAGTTGAATGTCCCAGTCTCTCAGCAGCGGCTGCTTTTCAAGGGCAAAGCCCTGGCAGATGAGCACCGGCTCTCAGACTATTCCATCGGCCCTGAGTCCAAGCTGAACCTGGTGATCAAGCCACCGGAGAAGGCTTCCCCCGAGGACCCGGGGCACAGGGGACCCCCGCCACCATTCCCGACCATCTGGCACCCGCTGGGCCAGGTCCTGGCTCGGCACTTCAGCACAGCTGACGCGGAGAAGGTGCTGGAGCAGCTGCAGAAGGATTATGGGCGGAGCCTTCGTCTGCTGAGCCTGGATGACATTGAGCGGCTGGCCACGCGGCTGCTGCAGCCAGAGGTGGCTGATGCAGTGGAGATGGGATTCCTGGACTAGCACCCAGACAGCCGTGGGCCCGGGGGAAAGACTTCAGCCTGGCCCTCCCTGCACCTGGAACAAGGTGCCTGCAGGCAGGGCCCAGTCGGGGGCTCAGGGTCCCTCTGCCCCCTCCTCACACCTCTGAACTGCTGCTAAGGAGCCTGTCTGTGTCTCCCATTCCCCATTAAAGGTGATGGTAGGTGTGTGTGTGTGGGGGAAACACTCTCCTGTAGCCATCTGGCCTGACCCTGTCACACATTGATATTTATATCCTGGCATAACAACCTCGTACTTTTGTGACTGGGGAGCTTTTTGTGTTCCCCATCACAAAACATGCTAAATTATTGTGGTTGTTCGGTGTCAGCGATGACCACTATATCAACCGAATGTCTTCTGCATAGAGGGCCAGATCCTCATCTGGTATAAATCAGTGTAACTCCATTGTCTTGCAGTTTACACCAGTTGAGGATCTATCCCAGAAACATGTTGCTTGTTATAAGAAACATTGGGAGTAGAAGCAACTAAGAACACACATATTTACTTTTTTCCCTTGTACATCTGCATGGAAACACCACTCCTAGAGACCCAGGCTTAACAGACTGATTGTCAACGCTTAATGATGCATAGTCTTCCCCTGCAAGGTTGGATTGTTGAAAGATATGCATAGCTGAAAAAATTCCATCAGCAGTACAGGATTCATTTAAGCACATGCCCCAGAGATTTGCTGAGGCATTACCCCTATTCATATAAAAAATGCCACCAGTCAATGGTTTCTTTTAAGGCAGATCCTGAGATTTTTCACCATCACTAATAAGGAATGGCTGAACTTTCCTTCTTCCCCTCCTGTCCTTCATTCAATAAACCAAGCTGATGGATAGCCAAGTGCTAAAGAACCAGGTCTAGCCCTCTCACTTTGTGCTATGATTTTGCTGTCAGTGCACACTTTCTGGGACAACTGCCCAACACATGCAGTTACAGCCAGTGATAGCTGTAGTCAGAAAGGAGAACCTCAGGACAAACCCTCCCTAACATGAGAGCTAATGGGCAGTTCCAAGGTAGGCAGCAAAAGTCCAATTGTTTGGTTCATTTAAACCTAGACTGGCAAAGCACTAGCAAGTATATGGTTAGAGGCAACTCTGCACTGGCTGGGGGATGGACTAGGTCATCACTTTGGGCTTCTCCATCTGTGTCTTCTAATTACTGTAACACCATAATGTTTTGTCTTGTTGCGATGAGCACCTACAGCAGTGTGTCTGAGCTCCTATAGAAACTGGCGTATTTCTGAAGAGGTTAGTAATGGAATTCAGTGCTCTCTACCGCTAGGCCTCCAGCTTCAAAGCAGCCTGGGAGGATAGTGACTGGAAGCTATTACCATGGTGCCCTCTGTGAAATGAGCCTATGGAGTCATTCCAGATGCCAGAGCACAAGGGTCCAGAGCACAAACGCATTAACACAACAGACCCAAAGAATCTGTCCCACCTTCCACTGGAGTCAATAGAATCTTTCTTCAGTAGGAGATTGGTCAGGTCATAACTAGGATTCCCAACAGACATGTCAATCGCTGGATGGGCACTAGGTGTGCTCCCTCCAGGTCTGGTGTGAAGCACATTGGTGGGGTGGCTCAGGGAAGCTTGCACAGTTGCTGCCCAGGTTCTCCTTGGTGGCTCAGTAAAGGCCTGGGGTATCTTATTAATGTGACCTCATATCCTGTAAGCTGATCCTGTGAAATGAGAAATGTGATAAAGAAGTGAACTATTGAATGGAAAAAAGAGTGGGTGCACCAAGCTCTGTAACCTGCCTGCCTGCCCAGCCCTCTTAAATGGATAAAGGTATTTTCTAATGAAACAAAGAAGCTTGTACACAGATCCCTGCTATAGGAATATAATCACTGTTCGCTGAATTTGTGCGTAAAGGCATCAGCCTTTTATGCTGCTGAGAATGGTGCTGCTCACGAGGTTTGCAACATGAAGAGGCTGGGGGGTTTTATTAGCCTCTTTCTCTATTTCACAACTGTTCCTGGAAGTTTGTGCGTTCCAAGAGAGCTGCCTGATTTCCTTAGAGCTGCTGCCTTGAAGCTGCATCTGCAGCACTGTTGGCCCTTGTATTTCAGGAATGTGAAAAACTGGCATGGCAAGGTCTGTGATTCAGCCAAGATGATGTGTCGGGACATGACTGAAGTTAATTAAAAGGGAACTTAAGAAAGATAAAGAAAAAAAATTGCAAACCTTCTTAAAGAGCCAATTAATTATTGTTCATGGCCACACACACCAGCCAGGCCACACCATGGAATCACTACCACCTGACCACTCACCTAGGAGCCATGAAGAAAAGCAACACATCGGTCAGCATTTGGAAGTGATGGGCCAAATCCTCTGGGTGCTGTAAATGGGCAAAACTCCACGGAAGTCAATGGAACTGCACACATTTACACCAGCAGAGAATCCAGCTCTCCACCTGTGTTCAAGCCCATGTACCAGGGATGCATGTGCTACAGAGGACAGGGAGGGACTGTTCATTCCTTTAGTTTCCCAAACACATTGTCTTACAACCGTAACACAGGTAGGAGGTGATATCACATGGCAAACTTGCATTGAGCTGAGCTGCACGAATGGTTTGCACCTTTGTTCCTCAGAATCATGCTGAATATAGTGATAACATAGCAATGCCCAGCTGGGGTCACCTGAAGGTGAGTGAAAGAGAAAAGCCTTATGGGGGACCAGGTGGGAGATCCTCCCCAGGGAAATGTTCCCAAAAGACTTGACACTTCTTGCTCTCAAGGGTATTGCTCTGAGGCCCAGGGACTAATCATCTTCTGCAGGAATGATTCAGCAGCATCCACAGGGCATGAATTGCAGTCTTCCCTTCAATTTGGTGATGGGATTTTAACATGATGCTCCTGGGAATTCCCTCTACCACAGCACTGAGGTAGATGGATTAACAAGAACAATGGTGACATGGGTTGAGATCTGCAAAAGTATCCAGCATTGGTCTAAATCTGCTCCCGCTGAAGTCCCTGGGACTTTTGCCATTAATTTCAATAGCCTCATCCTGCCCCCAATAGTGAGCGCTTCTGAAAACCCACCCCTCATGTTGGCCTGTTTAGAGCCAACTAACACAGAGGACTTGAGGACAAAGTGTCGATCCCGAACACCTTCCCCTCCCAGACTTGCCTGCTTCCTCCCAATCCCCCTTACCCAGCTGGGATTTTTGAGGACACTCCCGCTTTTTCACCAACAAGAAGTTTACAGCTCCATTGCAGACCTAGGGCCCCAGAATGAGATGGAGGAAGCAAGGTCTACACTACGAGCCAGGGGTGGGACTCCCCTGCCTGTGTACACATACTCATGGTAGCTCCCACTGCGCTAGCAGAAGGACAAATAGCCGCATAGCCGTGGTAACACAAGAAGGAGCAGCAGCGGAGGCAGGGCTGAGCACAAATCTGCCTGAAAATGGTGGGTACATACGCTGCCGAGGCTACTGTGGTTACACGACTCTTTATACTCGTGGTGCCTCTCATAAAGCTCCCGCGGGTATGTGTGCATTAGAATCACACTCCTAGCTTGTCGTGTAGACATGGCATGCGGGGGCGGGAGGGGGGTTTGCACAGTTATGTGTGAAGTAAGATATGAAGGACCCCATCCAGCTCCTTCTCCACCTACGAATGGGCCTGTCAGGCATGCCACAGCCATCACATCGCTTCACTCCCTTCCTCTTCAAGTAAGCCTGAAGTCTCCTGGGACTCGGAGAAAGTGAGCACAGTAAGTTAACGCAGGGATGGGGGAGTGAGTTAGGAAAAATCTCTGCTATGACTCTCAGCTAGCCTGTGGGGCTCTCCCCAGATGGTGGAAGGAAGAGAGCAAGGAGAAGGGGGCTGCAGGGTACTGGAGAGCAGATGTTCTGTTGGCAGCTTTGTTATTGGAGCCATCAGCTGCTTGGTGACAGGGACCCTGCTTGCATGTGGCTCTAGGTGACTACAGGCCTGAGGCAGGGAGATGGGCGGGAAGCAGAAGGACTGGGAGCAAGAGAAAGAGTGACTCAACATGGGGGAAGATGGTGGCCACCATCTCCATTACACGATCGTGACCATTTTCAGAGCCATGCTGAGTACCTGTATGGAGAAGCACATGGCTATAAATCCAGTAGCCCCTCTTTCCAAATCAGTTCCCTGTTTGCAATTCCTCACATCCTTAAGAACGCCTAAGGACGGGCTTCAATCAACCCTCCAATCCAGCAGAATCGAGTCCCCTAGCACCACACAGGGACACCAGAGTAGCACCGACACGATAGAAGAACACCTCCTGCATGGCCAGGGCATTTCAACTCCTTGGGGTTTCCTGATCCGTACACTGCTCCAGTCCAATCCAGCATAGCACAGAGAGAGCAGAAAAGATCACCGCACAAGCGGCTCTGGTTGCAGACTCAGACATGGGTGATATGCAAGGAGAGCCAAAGATGTTGGAGCAGTGTCACTGTTTACCCCTTTACTTCATAGACTGAGCCGACTGTGTTTGCGGGTGGGTTTTGTTCTGGGTTTTTTGCATTTTCATGCACTGAAGAGTAGGGTCCCTCCTCCCCCGACTAGTGACTGACAAGTGTTTAACGGGGCTGGAAGTTTGAACATTTCAGTGGCTTACGGGGGCTATGACAGATTCCAAGATGTATGCGTGTGTGGGGCTGGCACTGCTGTTCCCCCTGGCTGGGGTGATGGGCCCTCCTACTGCTGCAGGCCCCACACCTGTTCACACAGCCCTTCCTGCACGTACACCTTGGCAGCCCCTGTGGCACTTGCTGGGTGGGGGTGGGAAGCCCACAGAGTCACTTCAAAGGCATGTTGAGCAAACCAGTCACATTCAGTCTGGGTTTGGCTGAAGCCTCCCGCACCCTTCTCAAGCTATTTAACCCCGCAGGTGCCAAGCCCCTGTGCATGCTGAGGGCCACAAAGAGCAGTGGGAGACGTCCCCTGGACATTAGACACCCCCCAGGTGCCCATGTGCTCTAAAGGCGTTAAAGGGAGCGAAATGCCACATTA